AATCCCAGCAATAACAGAAACGGATGTTTCAAATTTACCACAGGAAAAGTCTTTCAAATTTTCATGTATTGATTGCGGAATGACTTACCCTACCAAACATGGGCTTGCAGTCCATAAAGGACGATGGTGTAAAAAAGACCCAACCGCCAAAAAGCCTAGCAGGAAAGGAACGGTAGCAGACCGCATCATCACCAAAATGAAAGTCGAACAATATCAAGCCTCAATGCAAAAAGTGTCAATGAGCAACAGTCAGCTGGATAATGTGTATTCATTCGTGTATCTTGGAACTGAAATAGCTGGTGACGGAGACCGATTAATACCACTGAAACATCGGCGTGACATTGCATTTGGAAGATTCACCAGCATTTTACCAACGTTAACAAATACTAAACTTCCTTTGGATATGAGAGTACGGCTTTACATTTGTGTCGTAGTATCATCATTGATATATGGCTCAAATGCATGGTTTTTCACAGATGAAATAGCTCGGAAACTGAATGGTATTAATTCTAAAATGCTTGCTGTTATGACCAGGCCGATATTATGCTTAATTGTATACCGTATATTTTTTCGCACCGGCATTATGAGCATATATTAAACGTTGGATGAAAAAAAAATTGAAAATCCTTGATTGACTTCCGACATAATACAATGTTTTTAAAACATTTGTGTTTGAAGATCAAAAATTAGCCAAGGAATAACAAAAGCGGCATGGCCACTGTGATCCACGAGGATGTGCTATAATAATTAATTTGCATACTGTAATAACAGAGGAACTGATGCCTTTTGTATTTCTAAATAATGTGTATAAACATCTGCAAAAGCCAAGAGCTTTCGTAAGGTCAGTTTTTATAGATTTTTCAAGTGTTCAACACTATTGTTCCACACATATTGCTAAACGACTAATTTGAGCTTGATTTCGTTCCTAGAATTTTGTCATGTATTTAATTTCTTGACCACAGCGAGTTAAATGTAATAATATATCGTCAACAGTTAGTAGCTTAAGTATTAGTGTTTAGTAAGGATGTATTTTGTCTCCGTTTTATATTCAAGTTGTTTTAAGATCTTGGATCCTCACTGTAAAATTATAAAATACGCAGATAATACTGTAAGTAGTGGACTTATTGACAACAATGAAACTATATTATTTTGATGAAGTTAAAATATTTCCTGAATGGTTCCAGCTCAATCATCTTATATTGAACGCTAACAACTGAAGAAATGATCTGATTTTGGCAAAGCAAACAGTGCTTATGATATATACCAGGCACTGTTGTTGATAATAAGCTTATATGGGGTAAACAAAACAAGATTACTTACAAAAGGAAACTAAGCAAAGTTGTATTTTCTAAGAAAACTTAAGAAGAACTGTGTAGACAATAACATTCTTATCTTTTTTTATAAAGCAATAAAACAGTGTTTTAACTTACTGTCTGTACATATAAAAGCCTAACAAAACAATGAAGAAGCACAGACACGAAGGGACGCTTAGTAGGGGCGAAGAAAGTCTTTGGTCGAGTTCAGTCCACATATTAAGCTAAGCGCCCTTATGTTTGATGGATATGTGCGCTATATAAAACTACATTATTATTATCCGACCAACATATTAAAGAGAAAGATTGTAATGTTTGTCATTTCTAGCAAGGACATTTACATTTTCTTTGCTTTTGGCGGCTTCTGGGAAATTGGATAGAGGCAGAAAGTTTAACAGTGTATTACATTGCAGTTACTAAAAAGAAAAACCAAAACACAGCTTTTTACGGTATAGAATTTCAAAACAGGTCCAGTCAGTGCTAATGGTGACATTAATGTACCTGCCGAATATGCTGGGGTGATATTATTATACACCAGTCACATAGAAAATGTTTGGGTTGTGAACAACATGGGACGTTCTTAACTACGTATATTATAACAGTGTTAAGTGAGGTTTCCATAAAATCGCTACATGCTTTTGCCAACAGCTTTTGGATGGTTGCTCTGGATCAGCCCTACATAGCGCATGCGCATCGATTATAGTGAAAACATTGAGCAACTTTTATGGAAACCAGGCTTTATTATGGATTTGATACACAAAACAGCATTGTTTTGCTGACGAAGTAATTGCAAAATACTAAGCATAAATAGGGAGCTTTCGATTGTGTGACGACGCGACGCTAGAACGGAATCACTCATGCGTGACCGTCCTACCTGGCGTCACGTAAGATTTGGCCAAATTGCGTTCCAGAATCTACTCGACGAGGTGACCTTAACGTTCTCGCATGCGCAGATGACTTTTAGTGACGTCATTACGTTCTCCGTCCTACCGTCGTCGTGCAATCGAAAGCTCCTAATATTACCTGAAGCGACAGAAAAACTGCTCATCAAAATTGCGATTATAAGGATGATTCCAATTCTGTAAAACATCTTAATAATATTAATTTATAGATACAGTAGGTAAGGCACAACCATGCGCAGATGTTGTGTTCACACAAATGACAGTGTCCTGTACATTGTTAGGCCTATATGATAATTCTCCATTAAAAAAAAAGAACTATAACATATATTGCCTAAAATTAATGAATAATAAAATAAAGTAGCCAATGGGGTCAGGGGCCATGCCCCTCTGTTAAAGGTTTGGCCCCCTCTCTTGTAAAAATCAAAGTGATAATTGAGTAAGACAAAAAATAACAACAAATGAACAACAAATATGTATTTTTGAAATTAATAGATCCAATATGCCAAATTCAACCTCGGATAATAATAATAAGTTCTACTTAAAACGCTCAATAAATTCAGGATTTTTTTTAAATTAATAAAGCGTGATAAATAATATATTTATGCTTCAAGCCGAATTTGGCTCGAAAGTTTAATTAAAATTGTACCAACAACGATATAACATGATATTCCTTTTTTTTCAATAAAAGTTTCAGAATACAAATATAATTATGCATATGAATATTGCATCTTGTGTATTCATAACACGTTTTTACAATAATGACAAACTTCAATTAGATAATAATAGTACAAAGCACAACACATCTAGGAGCGTGATAAATAATATATTTATGCTTCAAGCCGAAATTGGCTCGAAAGTTTAATTAAAATTGTACCAACAACGATATAACATGATATTCCTTTTTTCCAATAAAAGTTTCAGAATACAAATATAATTATGTATATTGCATCTTGTGTATTCATAACACGTTTTTACAATAATGGCAAACTTCAATTAGATAACAATAGTACAAAGCACAACTCATCTAGGAGCGTGATAAATAATATATTTATGCTTCAAGCCGAATTTGGCTCGAAAGTTTAATTAAATTTGTACCAACAACGATATAACATGATATTCCTTTTTTTTTCAATAAAAGTTTCAGAATACAAATATAATTATGCATATGAATATTGCATCTTGTGTATTCATAACACGTTTTTACAATAATGGCAAAACTTCAATTAGATACTAGTCATACAAACTATGAAAATTCTTTATTCATACCTTCACACCTCATTTTATTGTTTAATGGCAGCTGTCTTGGTTGAGAATTATTTACAAAACAAATTGGGTTCTACCGAAACCATCGGTATTGCGTGTAATTTTTTGTTTATTAAGCAAATTTTTTGCTCATTCATTGAAAGAATATCTTGAGGTTAAAGTATTTTTCCCCCTTTTTAACATTTCTTATTTAATATTTCTTCAATAAAAGGTGTATTTCCTTATGAATATCACAATTAGTCTTTTTTTAATTTAAGGAGTATATACTATACAGTTTTTTTTTCTATGCTAAGCTCCGGTTAATTCTCCAAGCTTCTCCGTGTAGGGCCAACTCCCATCTTAAATTAACCTCGTTTACATAAAGCCTCGCACACACAAGAAC